TTTGAGGCCTGAATATAGAGGTTTTGTTGCTGCAGTACAAGGATGGCCAAATCAACCATCACTTGTGGAGTTCGAGAATTTGCTTGCTGGTCAAGAAGCCATGGAGAAGCAAATGGTAGGAGCTTCAGTGAAGAATGAAGAAGAAGCTCTCTACACCAACAAAGCCAAGAACTTCAAGCAACATACTGCTAGTAGTTCTAAAAAGAGAAATTTTCATGGAGATGGAAATTCACGCTCAAGGGGAGCTTTGAAAAATCACGGGAACAATAGAAGATTTGAAGGGAAGTGTCACCATTGTGGAAAGAAGGGTCATATGGCAAAAGACTGCTGGTCCAAGAAGAAGTCTGTGGAAAGTAATGCTGCTACGTCAAATTCAAATGAGAAAAGCGAAGAAGATTGGGATGCTGAAGCATTTTTTGCTATAGAAAAGGAAGATTTAGCACTCACAGCAACAATATCTGAATCAATTGATAATGAGAATGACTAGATCGTTGATTCAGGTTGTGCAAATCATATGACGGGTGATAAGAAAAAGTTGCAGAACTTGACAACATACAATGGAAGTCGTGTTGTGGTGACGGCCAACAATTCAAGGTTACCGATTGCTCACATTGGTAAGATAATAGTTTCTCCTCAACAAAGTTCCAACCAAATCTCACTTGATCATATTTATCATGTTCCAGGTATGAAGAAAAACTTGCTTTCAGTATCACAATTAACATCATCTGGAAACTATGTTCTGTTCGGTCCTCATGATGTGATGGTATAGCGTGATCTCAAGAACTTAGAAAATCCAATTATGAAGGGGCGTAAATCAGAGTCAGTTTATGTAATGTCTGCGGAGTCAGCATATGTTGAAAAGACTAGAAAGAACGAGACTCCAGATTTGTGGCACATGCGATTGGGTCACGTGAGTTATTCCAAACTAAGTGTGATGATGAAAAAATCAATGATCAGGGGTCTTCCTCAACTTGAAGTAAGAACAGACACCGTTTGTGCGGGCTGCCAATACAGTAAAGTGCATCAGTTGCCTTTTGAAGAGTCCAAATTTAAAGCTGAGGAACCGCTAACATTAAGTCATTCTGATGTATTCGGACCTATCAAGCAAGTGTCCGTTGGTGGGATGAAATATATGATGACCTTCATTGATGATTTTCCAGGTATGTGTGGATTTATTTCTTAAAGGACAAATCTGATTTGTTTTCAAAGTTCAAAGAGTTCAAAAAGGATGTTGAAGCAGAAGTTGGTAAGAAAATTCTTTGCTTGCGAACTGACAACAGTGGGGAATATACCTCAAACGAGTTTGCTGACTTCCTTCGAGAGTGTCGAATACGTCATCAGTTCACATGTGCAAACACGTCGCAACAAAATGGCATAGCGGAAAGGAAGAACATACACTTAGCAGAAATCTGTCGGAGTATGCTTCACGCGAAAAATGTTCCAGGACAGTTTTGGGCAGAAAAAATGAAGACTGCAGCTTTTGTGATCAATAGATTTCCTCAACAAAGGTTAAATTTTCTTTCACCTTTTGACAAGTTGTGGAATATGAAAGCTAATGTCAGTTATTTGTGAGTGTTTGGATGTGTGTGCTATGTTTTTATAGCAGATCATCTACGTAGCAAAATGGACAAGAAAGCTGTCAGGTGTATTTTTGTGGGCTATGACAGTCAAAGAAAAGGGTGGCGATGTTGTGATCCAACAACAGGAAAGTGTTACACTTCTCGGAATGTAGTATTTGATGAAGCTTCTTCATGGTGGTCTTCAGATAAGGAAGTGTTGCCCGACTCAGATGTTTTCAAGGATGTGTTGGAATCGTCCCAGATTCAGTTGAGTGTAGATGAAGCTGAAGGTGCAACTTTTGAAGGTAATGTTGAAGAAGACGTGACTCAAAGTCCTTAGAAATCTGGTGTATACTAACAACCAGGTGAAGAAGGCGAGCCTAGTAGGGCAGCTGCACCACCCACACTCAGAAGGTCAATAAGGATCAGAAAGCCAAACCCGAAGTATGCCAATGCTGCCATAGTTGAAGAAGCAGATGCAATAGAACCTGAGACATTTGAAGAAGCATTTGAAGATCCAAGGTGGACTAATGCTATGGAAGAGGAAATTGAAGCATTAGAACAAAATAAAACTTAGGAGCTTGTGCCAAAGCCAAAAGATGTGAAGCCTATATCTTGCAGATGGATTTATAAAATAAAGCGTCACACAGATGGGTCGATCGAGAGGCATATAGCTCGTTTGGTAGCTCGAGGATTTACTCAAGAATATGATTTGGACTACGATGAAACTTTCAGCCCAGTGGCAAAGTTTACAACTGTGCGAGTCTTACTTGCACTTGCTGCTAGCAAAGATTGGAATTTGTGGCAGATGGATGTAAAGAACGCGTTTCTTCATGGAGAACTGGATCGGAAAATTTACATGGTTCAACCAATGGGCTTTCAGAACCAAGAACATCCTGAATATGTTTGTAAGCTAAGGAAAGCGCTCTATGGATTAAAGCAATCACCAAGGGCATGGTATGGTAAAATTGCTGAATTTTTAACTCAAACTGGTTATTTTATTACATCTGCAGATTCAAGTTTGTTTGTCAAAGTCAATGGAGGAAAGCTAGCTATAGTGCTAGTATATGTCGACGACTTGATCGTAACTGGTGATAATGAAGATGAAATTCTCCAAATAAAGGAGAATTTATCTGTTCGGTTTCACGTGAAAGAACTTGGACAGCTCAAGCATTTTCTTGGCCTGGAGATTGATCGTACTCAAGGAGGAATTTTTCTTCATAAAAAAAAGTATCCAGAGATTTGTTGACGAAATTCGGAATGCTGGGGTGCAAGCCAATTGCAACACCAATTGAACCAAATGCCAAGATGTGTGCGCCCGAAGGGAAGGATTTAGAAGATGTGACGATGTATCGACAATTGGTAGGGAGTCTGATTTATTTAACTCAAACTCGACCCGATCTTTCTTTTGCAGTTGGTGTAATGAGTCGTTACATGCACAATCCAAAGAAGCATCATATGGAGGATGTTCGGCGAATGCTAAGATATGTAAAAAGTACAATTGATTATGGTCTTTTGTATGAGAAAGGTGACGATTGCAAGTTAGTTGGGTACTGTGACGTGGACTATGCAGGAGACCATGATACCCGTCGCTCAACTACTGGATTTGTGTTTAAGCTTGGAGCTGGAGCAATTTCTTGGTGCAGCAAAAGGCAACCAACCGTATCTTTGTCAACAACAGAAGCGGAATATCGGGCAGCAGCAATTGCAGCTCAAGAAAGTACATGGCTTATGCAGTTGATGAAAGATGTACAACAACCAGTAGGCTACGCGATTCCCTTGTACTGTGACAATCAGTCAGCAATTCGCTTGGCTGAAAATCCAGTTTTCCACGCAAGGATTAAGCATGTGGAAATACATTATCACTTTATCAGGGAAAAAGTGTTGAAAGGAGAAATTGTTTTGGAGCATGTTAAAACCGAACATCAAATAGCAGACCTGTTCACAAAAGGTTTAAGTGTCAACAAGGTTGAAAGTTTATGCTATCAACTAGGTATGGTTAAGATAATGAGAGCTGATGTCGAGAGGGGGTGTTAAAGTTGTACAACATCAGTTCCATTTAGTGTTGACTAAGTCTGTAGTATAGCTAGTTTTTAGCTTCAAGTTGTTATTTTGTTATTGTTAGTTGCAAATATTTTTTTCTAGTTTCTAGAGTTCAGATATCTTTTCCTAAAGTTTAGGAGAGTTTGTTTAGTGGGATAACAGGTTCAAGCTAATTTGTAAGCCTATATAAGGCCATCAGTGAATTGAATAAACCATCCAACTATTTTCTTCCACAAAAATTTCAATTCTACTTCCAGTTATTCTTTCTAATATTGAGCTTGCAATTCTATTTTGATTCTTCATAAAAGAGAAACGTAATTAAGTTTTTTAAAGAAAAAGCTTGCGCTTGTAATTTCAGCTGATTTACACTTTTGTATACGGTAGAAATCGGGGCTACCCGATTTCACTATTTGATCGAAACAAGGACGTTGCATCGAAGAGCTAAGGCATCGAGTTTGAGATTGAAGTCTCTTTCGAGATCGAGGTTGGTATCAATCGAAGGCAGGGGAGATAGACTTCGAGTAACATCAGGGATAGATTAGTAACGGAAAGAGCGAGATATCCGTGATTGATCGAGGATCGTGGTGTGAATCTCGGAACGGACCAAATCAGAAGCGGTTAATTAGTTGTTTATACGATTTCCTTCCGTAATTAGAGACATACCATAATTAGGTTTTCTCTACTATATAAAGAGGAGTTCCAATCATTTGTAGCATTATTCACTGAAACATAAGCAATATAGCTCCTCTTTTCTGACCCGTATTCTTGTTCATCAATTTATCCAATCTTTACTGTTCTCATACTTTATCACCTCGAGGGTACCTTAATTCAAGGCTGAAGCTTTGTTTGCATACTGGTTTGGGTTATTTACAATGCGAGTCTACCTCTTATTTTCTTACTTATCAATTGGTATTGTGTGAAATCGCATATCCTTAAAACCACATTATAAATTTAATTGTTATATGATTTTTAGGGTAAACAACTTCAATATTGTAGCAGCCTATTGATTTTGTGTATTATCAGGTCAAATTGACATACCACTACAATAATCATTTATTGTAAATCTAATTTAATAACTTTAAGCAAATAACCTGTCATAAATTGAATAAACTAGATACATTTTTTTTTTTTACATTTACACTAACAATATAGGCGAATAAAATATATCTTAGGCAAATTCTTATAGTTACCCTACAAAGGAAACGCCAAAACACTATCGGGAATCGCTTTCCTGTCAACATGCAGAAAAGACAAATAACTTATGGACCAACATGTAATTTTAAACATTGATAAGCCCTTCTAAGCAAAGTGGTCAATTTTGGAGTTCCTTTTTTCTGTGTTAGAGACATCACCACAAGGCCTATAAGATTCCAATTTTTGTTCACCTATTTTCCCCCATCGAACGGCCTTTGGCTTTTCCTTTGTCACAACTCTCTTTTAATAAACTCTATTCCCTATCTCTCACTACTTTTATCATCTTTTCACTATCAAATATCAAGAAAATTAAAGTGCATGCAATGGCCGTTGATTGTCTGATCACAAGAAATAAGTTTACTATGCCACGAACATCCAAAGAGCCATTGATTTTTGATGCCTCAGTAATGAAAAATGAGTCGAATATACCAAGCCAATTCATATGGCCAGACAACGAGAAACCTTGTGCTAATGCTCGAGAACTTCAAGTGCCATATATTGATTTAGGAGGAGTACTTTCAGGTGATCCTTTTGCAACAAAACAAGCAGCTACCCTTGTTAATGAAGCATGTCAAAAACATGGGTTTTTTCTAGTTATTAACCATGGAATTGACACTAATCTCATTTCTAATGCACATCGTTACATGGATTTGTTCTTTGAATTGCCACTTAATGAGAAGCAAAAAGCTCAAAGGAAGATTGGTGAGCACTGTGGTTATGCTAGTAGCTTTACTGGAAGATTTTCTTCTAAGCTACCTTGGAAAGAAACACTTTCTTTTCAATACTCTGCTGAGGAAGGATCCTCCCACATAGTTGAAGATTATTTTCAAAGGACAATGGGTGAAAATTTTAGCCATCTTGGGTAAGAGAATGTGACTGTTTTAACCTTCCCTTATATATATTCGTCAATTTAAATAAAACCCTGTCTGTTCCAAATAGAATACTGATAGTTTTCTATATTTGGAAGCTTTTTAACTTTAAACTTCCTATTTTACCTTTAATGACACGCTTTTATACTCATAAAAACGCCATGGCAAAGATTACAAATTTTAATGACAGATAGTCATTCTCAGGGATACTATTTAGAGATTAGCCATTACTTATTTTGTCCTGAAAGTTTTACACAAAATCTTAACTTCAAGATAATTCAGAACATTTTTATTACTGAAAAACTGAAATTCAAGACGCAATGGCTAATTCGTAAATAGCATCCCTTTCTTTATTTCTACTACATTTGATATATGCCAAAAGTCTATCTTTTTTTCTTTAATTATGTGTCCAGTCAAACACCACCATATAAAATAATAGGGAGAGAGTAACTTCCTTTAATTTTGAATTTTTTCCCCTCTAGTCAATTATATTAATTGTTTTTTTTTTTAATTTGTTCTTTTATAGGAAGGTTTACCAAGATTATAGCAAAGCCATGAGCACACTTTCTCTAGGGATAATGGAACTATTGGGTTTGAGCCTTGGTGTGAGCAGGAACCACTTCAAAGAATTCTTTCAAGAAAATGAATCAATAATGAGACTAAACTATTATCCACCATGTCAAAAACCAGAGCTCACTTTAGGAACAGGACCTCATTGTGATCCCACATCATTAACAATTCTACATCAAGATAGTGTTGGGGGACTTCAAGTTTTTGTGGACAACGAGTGGCGCTCCATCACTCCAAATTTCAATGCTTTTGTGGTTAACATTGGCGACACATTTATGGTAAGATGTCATTTACTACTGTTAACGTACATTACATAGCAATTTGAGTGCTTTTTTGAAAGACAAATATGAGTGTTTACCTGACAAATAGAGATATGGTTGTTTGCTCGATTATGTTTCATTGACGATCGTTTCAACTAAAAGTTTAAATGATTAGAGAAGATTATGATTTTTTTTTTACTTAATTATATCCTTGATACGATGCCTTTTGTTACTCTTGTGTATAGTTGAATTTTGGGTAAAGTGAAAACAGATAACACGTGGATTTCCCTTATGGCAGGCACTATCAAATGGAAGATACAAAAGTTGCTTGCACAGAGCAGTGGTAAACAACAAAATACCTAGGAAATCTCTTGCTTTCTTTCTTTGTCCCAAGAAGGATAAGGTGGTGAGCCCACCAACTGAATTGGTCGACTCCAACAATCCAAGAATATATCCAGACTTCACATGGCCAGCCCTCCTAGAGTTTACACAGAAGCAATACAGAGCTGACATGAACACTCTCCAAACTTTCTCCAATTGGCTTCAGCAAACAACTGCACAACTACTTTAATATATTAATGTTTTTTCATAATTGTCGCGCGTCTCTCTACTAATTCCACCATGTAGGCTACCCTTCTTGTACATCTTTTGATACATTTATAAGTTAATTCCCAAGCTAGGAATATTATGTTAGATCTCTGCTTGCAACTTCTGGAGTTGAAGATAATACGGTGAAAACGGAGGAAAAAAGAATTCGTAGGGATTATATATATGTTTTCACCTGATAACTACCAGGAGTTCAAAAAGAGAAATATAGAGGACATAGAATCGAACAAGGGAAAAAATAAATAGTGCTGTATGAATCGATTTTGTAATTTATTTTACTAGAAATGAATAGAGAATAAAGCCTATATAATTAATAGCTTTTACCTACGTATCTTCTTAATTCTAGCTATGCACGACAAAGTACAGGAGTATCCAATGTGGTCGTTCCCTCATTAAGGGAAACTATTTAAATCAATTCATTGCTTTTAGTTCCTTGGATTTTTGTTTTAAAATATTTCTTTTACCTAAGTAAATAT